TCGCTGAAGACCAGCATAAAGTGGATGATCTTCAAGTCAAAGCAAACAACAAGTGCTTCTTTGGCTTCTGTCCCAACATCAAGTCTCGACACAAGCTTAGCAGGAAAGCAGAAGAAGGTGCCGCAACTTTTGATGAGCTTATCAAAGAATGTGAATTTAGCAGCGTGGGCTACCATGATCTTCCACAACCCATAGTGGATACAGACTTTGAGGCCTTTCAATCAAGGGAAAAGGTTATCGATGATATCATGGAGTCGCTGAAAGATTCTACTGTGAGCACGGTCGGAGTGTACGGAATGCCTGGCGTGGGAAAAACATCACTAGCCAGAGAAGTTCATAGACAACTCCAGGAGGCTAAGTCTTTTGATTCGGTGGTTAGGGTCACTGTATCTCCGACACCTGACATTCAGAAAATCCAAGACGAAATAGCAGAATCGTTGGGTTTGAAGATCGAAGAAAAGAGTATAGTTGTAAGAGCCAGTAGATTACGTGAAAGGTTAAATCAAGGGAGGAATCAGGAGAAGAGGGTTCTTATTATTCTGGATGATATTTGGGAGAAACTGGACCTAGATGAAGTCGGAATTCCATTTGGAAGTCAACACAAAGGATGCAAGATACTGTTGACATCTAGAAATAAAAATGTTCTAAGCAATCTAATGGGTGCTACCAAGACCTTTCCGCTTGGTCATTTAGAGGACAAAGAAGCCTGGGAGTTTTTTAAGAAGATGTCCGGGGACAGTTTTGTAATTGATAATGAGCTTCGATCTACAGCCATTGAGGTAGCCAGAAGATGTGCAGGATTGCCGCTTGCCATTGCAACAGTTGCTAGGGCGTTGCAAAAACAAAGTTTATCTGTTTGGAAGGAGGCTTTACGACAACTACGAAGGCCTTACTCAGAAAACCCGAGCGAGATATCTGCTGAGGTATATTCTGCTATCGAATTGAGTATCAATCATTTACGGGGTGAAGACCTCAAGCAAGTTTTCCTGCTTTGCAGTCTATTGCGTCGTGATACTAGAATTGAAGATTTGTTGAGATATACAATTGGTTTGGGTTTAATTAAGGGAGTCGACACGTTGGAAGAAGGACGAGATGAATTGTTAACAATGATGAGTACCCTGAAAGCATCTTGTTTGTTGCTCGATAGTAACAACAATGATCAATTCTTTGACGTGCATGATCTTACTTATATTGTAGCCAAATCAATGGCTTCCAAGAACAATCAGCTGTTTGCCTTAAAAGAAGATGATGTTCTGACGGATTGGCCAGATGCGGAGTCAATGAAGAAGTGCGGCAAGATTTGTTTGCAATATCCTACTCTCAACAGGCTTCCTGACCAGTTAAATTGTCCACGTCTTTCTCTTTTCCTTTTGTTTAACAATGATCTTTCCCTGAAGTTGTCGGATGAATTCTTCAAGAAAACAACAAATCTTAAAGTCTTAGATTTGACTGGAATGCAATTTTCTTCTTTACCTTCATCAATTTATCTACTGACAAGCCTCAGCACGTTGTGCCTAGATCACTGCAAACTGGGAGATAATATTACCATTATTGGAGAGCTAAAGAGCTTGGAAATTCTTAGCCTTTTGAAATCTGATATTAGATTTCTACCAAAAGAAATTGGGCAACTGGTGAAGCTGAAGTTGTTAGACGTGAGTCGTTGTGCTATGCTCAAAACAATTGCAGACGGCGTGTTGTCAAGTTTGTCAAGATTAGAAGAATTATATATGGGTGGGACTTCTATTCAATGGGGACAAAGCAGTGCCACTCTTGCTGATCTACATTCACTGTCTCGTTTGTCCACCTTAGAAGTTCAAATCCCAGATGCTAAGGCGACACCACACGACTTCTTTCAAGTGTTGCAGAAATTGGAAAGATACAAAATTTTCATAGGAAAGGAATGGGAGTGGGAGCTGTTTCGCAGCTACCGATATTCAAGAACCCTAAAACTGAGGCTAAACACAGGCATGGATGATTTGGATCTTGGAATGAAGAAGTTGTTGAAAAAAACTGAAGATTTACATTTGGATGAACTCAAAGGCGTGAAGATTGCATTGCGGGAGTTAATAGATGAGGAAAGCATATCGCAGTTGAAGAATCTACATATCCAAAATGGTTTAGATACTGAATACATTATCAATGATGAGTACGAGTTTCCTCAATTACAGTCCCTGACACTGCATGATATTCCTAAGCTCATTAGCTTTTGCCCTCAACACGAAACCGGTGCTACCAGCTCATTACCTCAACATGAGTTGCCACTTTTCAGTGATAAGGTATTTACAATTCATTGTCTTTTAAATTTTTATTTCAAATATTTCCTGAAATCATTTGTATGGCTGTAGATATCGTTCCCTTCCTTGGAGAATTTGTGGCTGAAGTCGATTAATGTTACAAGGGTATGGCACAACCAACTTTCAAGTACATCTTTCTGCACTTATGAGAAGTTGACAAGATTGAAAATCGAGGGTTGTGGAAGCTTAAAACACCTGTTGTCATTTTCTATGGCTAAATGTCTAGTGCATATCACAGACTTTGAGATAATTGGGTGTTACTGCTTAAGAGATATCATTTTCATGGAGGAAATAGAAGAAGAAACCGAGGCTGCTACAACTTTATCATTATTTCCTCAATTAAAGTCCTTAGAGTTGAAGGATCTTCAACATCTGATTGGATTTTGCTCTGACTATCAGATTCAAGTTGTTGAATTTCCGGCCATGAAGTCACTGACGGTAAACAACTGTCCAGAATTGGAGGGTTTCATATGCAGATCTTCAATGGAAGGCAACCAACGCATTTATAGTCATGTTCTGTTCGACAATAAGGTAGCTTAATTATTGGTTTTAGCATTCTTAAATTCTTAATTTTAACACATTATCAAATATTAAAATATTTTTATTTATTACATTATACAAAATTCAGATTAAATATAAAATATAAATAAATATAACAAACATAATTGAAGATGATCCGAAGCACAAAAATGATTTTCACGAAATTTGTGCTCCAAATTTTTAAAATTATATATCAAAATGTGTGCCTTCAAAATTATATATATGCAATCGCAAACACACGCGCAGTCATAGATGTATTTGTAGCGCTAGCATCTAATTTCATTATTTTGGCATGATGAGTGCAGGTTGCATTTCCCAGTTTGGAGGAAATGAGAATTTCCTTCTTGACAAAGTTGAAGATGGTATGGGAGAACCCACTTCCACCAAATTCATTTCCAAAACTAAGAGAAATCAGCATTGATGACTTACCAAACTTGAAATATATTTGGAAAAACGGTCCCAAAGACATTTTTTCATTTAAAAATCTACATGGAATATCTGTGGAGGATTGTAAGAGTCTGAAGAATGTATTTCCAGCCTCAGTAGCCAGAGACCTCGCACAACTCAGTGGTCTTAGTATAATCGGTTGTCCAGTGAAGGAGATTGTTTCCAAAGTAGAGGAAGGATTGGATTCGGAAACTATTGTCGCTTTCGAGTTTGATCAGCTGTCTTCCCTTTGGCTATATGGGCTACGAGAATGCAAATGTTTCTACCCCGGTAGGCATACCACAAAGTGGCCAATGTTAAAAGAGTTATATGTATTCGGGTGTGGGGAAATGAAGATATTTGGTACACAACTCATCACTCACAACCAACAACTTGACTCCCAACCACCACTTTTCTTGGTTGAAAAGGTATAAACCCTCTCGCTCCCTCTCTATATGTTATGCTTTATTTTAATTAAAATATTAATTCAGTGATTTGATATTTGGCACGTTACCAATTTGTATTTATAAAAATTAAATTCTTTTTTTCTTTTTCCCTCTCTGTCAACTCTCCTTTCTGCCGTTTTCAGGTCATCTCTAAACTACAACGTCTGGAAATCGGTGCTGATTACATTGCAATGATAAGTGGTGGTCAATTGCCAAACAACCTTTTCCATCAAATAAATGCTTTCAAGGTGGAAGGCAACTTTGATAAATCATTTAATGATTTCCAAATTTCTTTCCTTGAAAGATTCTACAATCTAGAAGAGCTTTGTATCTCTGCTTGTGAAATCAAAGAGTTATTCTGTATTGAAGGAGATACTGGTAATAAGGGGACGTATGATAGGACATTGTCAACAATTAGAAAAATAAAACTGACACATCTTGAAAATCTAAAACGTTACTTATGGAAGCAAGACGTACAAGTGGACCGCATTCTACCCAACCTTGAAACACTTGAAGTTTACAATTGTAGGAATCTGATGAGCTTAGGATCATCCTCAGCATCGTTTCAAAATCTCACCACCTTGAAGGTGTCGAAATGCAAAGGAATGGAATACTTAGATACATGTCTAGCAGTGCAGGGTCTGTCTCAACTCAAACAATTGATCATAAGAGAATGCATTTCAATGAACGAAATAGTTGGAAGCGGGGAAGATGAAGCAACGTGCAACATTATATTCAGCAGGTTGAAAAGTTTGGAACTTGTGAATCTACCACGACTTCAGAGTTTTGTTCAGGCAACCACACATTTGGATTGCCATGTTTAGAGGAAGTGATAGTGAGTGGCTGTCCTGAGCTGGAGATATTTTGTAAGGGAGTTTTAAATGCGCCGTTGTTGCAAAGTGTAGAATATGGAAAAGGTAAAGAACATTGGAGTGGTGACCTTGACAGCACTGTCCAACAGTTGCATTCAAAAAAGGTATTCACTATTTGCATTCATTTAATTTAGCTTTAGCTATATTCTATTTTATTCCTGAATCTCTTTCTTCCTTTCGTATTGTTTAGTTGTAACCTTGAATCCTTTATAACTTTAACCCTTGTTTCTCTGTTTGATTTCTTTATGAAGGTTGGGTACCAAGGCATCAGTCATTTGATCCTTTCCGAATTTTCCAAGTCAATATGGAAGGAGAAAAGTGTAGATTTCAAGAACCTCAAATTTTTAGAAGTTGAGTGTAATTGTAATAGCTTGAAATACATATTTAGCGTTTCCATGGCCTTGGAACTTGTGCAATTGAGAGATATAAGAGTTAAAAATGTCCCATGATGGAGTACATTATCAAGAAAGAAGCAGAGGAAACTGCGATGGATACAGTCTGCTTACCAAATCTTGTGAAGATAAGACTTGAGTCATGTTCAGATTTGAAAAGTTTTTGCATGGGAAGTATTACTCTGCATTGTCCATCTTTGATAACAATTGAAGTAGATGACTGTCCAAAGATGTACGCAATGGCATGTACAAGGGAGGTAGGTGGGGGAGAAAAGACACCCTTTTTCAATGATAAGGTCTCTCCCTTCTCTTCTTTTCTGTTTAGTGTTTTGACTTTTAACAATCACATTAATTAATATAGATCTGTATGCGTTTATCATCACAAGCGTACATAATTCATGCAATGAGGATTGTGGTTGCAGGTTTTGTGTGCCAATTTGGATTGGTTGGAGCTATCGTCCACTAACATCCAGAAATTATGGCCAGATGTACCACACAGTGCCATATCCTCTAGTGTTCATAAGTTGCGAATCTTAATTGTGAAGGGTTGCCACAATTTGGAATATATATTTCCATCCTTTTCAAGAAAAACATTTGTGCGACTCGTTCACATTCGCCTTGTCGATTGCGACAACTTAGAAGAAGTGATCTTTACAGATGAAGCGACAGCAGAAGAAGAAGGGATAACTGAGGCTTACTGGTTCACTAAACTAAGTATATTGGAGCTCATTAGGCTTCCAAAATTAGGGACATTCTGTCATGGAGAAAACTCAGAGACTGATTCCCCAACCTTCTTCAACCAAAATGTGATTTTCTTCCTTCGTTTTCTTTTTGTATCCTTTTCTATCCTCTACAAATTTTACTTTTCTTATCATTTTTCCTTTCTTGTTGTATGGTTTTCTCTTGTTCAAGTGGCATTCCAACTTCTTTTTCGTATTAATAACTTAAATAAAATCTGCAGGTTGTGTTCCCTAACTTGATCCATTTGATCATTCAAGGTATTGGGAAGTGCAGAAAGATATGGCACGATAAACCCACTATGAATTCATTTAATCAATTGACCTTCCTCTGGGTGAAAGACTGTGAAAGACTTTCAAATATTTTACCTTTTAGTATGGTGAAAAGACTTGAAAAGCTAGAAACTCTGGCAATAGAGGAATGTAAGTCGGTTGAAGAAATAATTGGACCTGATGACGATCACTTACGCAATTCCAATGAGTCACACGCAGAGACATCCGCCCAATCAGTTGAACTCAAATCAATCACCAAGTTTGTGTTTCCTAAAATAACAAAGTTGTATCTTCAAGTGCTACCCAAATTGAAGGGTCTCTACTCCAAGGTGCATACTACGGAATGGCCATCCTTGAAAATATTAAAGGTGAGTGATTGCAGCAAGGTAGAGAATTTGACTAGGGAGTATATCAACTTTGGAGAATCACAAGGAGAGAGCCAACCTCTAATCTCTGTTCAACAACCCCTGTTTTGGGTCACTGAGGTAACAGTTCACAAAACTAACAAATACATATGCATCTGTTAGAATTTGTGAAATAAATTCAGTCTTGATGAAGTTTGCGATTGGACCCAATTGATGAACCTATAAAATTGAGGTAAAATAGGGGATATGGCATCAGTTTAGACAATTTTTTATTGAACATACATTTTTCCAAATTTCTCAGGAAGCATTCCCCAATTTAGAAGAATTACATGTGATTCGGAACAGAAATATGAAGGAGATATGGCACGGAGCACTTCCAAACCTATATTTTCCCCAACTCACAAGAATGCGTGTTATATATTGCCAAATGTTAAAAGAAATCATAGCTTCAACAACTGATGAACTCATGAATGGCATCGTTTTCTCCCAACTTAAGTCTTTAGAACTTGTTAGTCTTCCGATCCTATCAAGTTTCTGCTCAGGGAAGTATACCTTAGTATTTCCTTCCTTGGAAGAAGTAATCATCAGATGGTGTCCAAAGATGGAATTTTTCACAAAGGGGAAGTTAAGCACACCGATGCTGCATGGACTACAATCAACTAAAGGTGAATATGTAGGGCTCTGGGAAGGCGACCTTAATGCTGTCATTCAACAGTTGTTTGTAGAAAAGGTATGAACCATTTCAAAAGAAAAATAGTAAAACTTTATAAGATGAGAAGTTCTAATGTTCATCATATGGCTAAACAATTTAACATTTCTGAATAAAAATTATAGGATAAAATTGCAAATTGAGTTTATATATTTGATTTTACCAAACTACATATATGAAAAGAATTACAGAGATTGGTGCATAATGTAGTTGATGAATAGTGAAACCTTTCTCCACGCATTCAAGACTATATATATTTTATGCAGGTTTTCCCGGGCTTGGAGGATTTGGAGCTATCTTCAATCAGCATTCAGCGAGCATGGAAACACAAGGTTCTGGCCACACATTCTTATGCCCAAAATTTAACATTCTTGACTATTAGGGGCTGTCATAATTTGAACTGCCTATTCTCGTCCTCTATGGTTGAAAGTTTTGTGCATCTCAAGAAGCTAACCGTCGAAAACTGTGAGAATGTGGAAAATGTGATCTTTTTGGAAGGATTAGCCAAAGAAGAAATGATGAACCAGAAGTTTCGTGTACTAGAATTTCTATTGCTCAAAGACCTTCCTAAACTGACTAGATTCTGCCATGGAAATTACTTTGAATTCCCCTTGTTGACAAGTCTTAGTATAGAAAGTTGTCCTACACTACGAACATTCGTCTCCGGTGCAAAAGGAATCAACTCGGAGATTCCCTCTCTGACTCTCTTTGATCAAAAGGTGATACTCCCTTACCTTTCTCTGTATCTTCTTTTTCCTTAAATATTTGATTGCCCTGTTCGTGTCGTGGATGCTGTTTTCTCTAGTAATTTTTAGTTGTAAATTTCATTGTTTTATACTCAGTTTCATTAATATTACCTCCGGTTATTGACACAATAAACTGAATTTTGTAGGTGGCATTCCCTTGCTTAGATGAACTGACCATCATAGGTGTGGGAAACTGGAGAAAGATATGGCAGAAGCAGCCAACTAATTGCCTGAGGATTCATTTTGCAAATTACTAATTCTTCTGTAGGTGTTTGATTAAAAAGTAATAATAAGAACTTTTTTTAATACTGTTTTCATTTATATATGAGAGGAGACTGGTGAAACCACAGTGGATGCAAATAATTGAATCTGTTGCTATAGAACGAGTCCTTAAGCCTGTATTTTCCTAGACTAATTACGTCCGTCTACTTCATAGACTGTTCAAATTGAAGAGTTCCAGCTCAAGGATACTTACAAATGAAAGGCCATCATTGAAGAAGGTATGAGTATTGAAAATATCCTTGTTTTGGTAATGTATACGTAGTTACACAATCCATTCTTTCACCTTTCAATTTCAATATTATCTTGGTCCTTGCAGCCTGCGGGGATGTCGACTTCTGAGGAAGAGATTGAGTTTTGGCTTCGGTTTCCCTGGAACTCTAAATCAGAAAGCAAGTAGTAAGTAGATCTTCTGCCGTTTCAATTCTTGACCAGTATACTTTATCAGGGTGACGCAGTTGCTTTGCATAGAGTTATATAAATTGACATGCCCTTTTCGTTGCAGGTTGAATTGCACCACTCAAGCATGTTGCTGCTGCTCAGTCTGTAGCCACATTCTCTTTTTATGATTTTCAGATTCTTTAAAATTTTAACTTCATAAAAGAAAATAAATACAGAAAATTCTTGTAATGAATACAAAGGCAAAGAGTTCTCAGATAGTTGCCACAATCCCCTGTTTCAAACCAACATGAAAGGTGAATACCTACCCCATGAATCCCATTCACATACTCTCAATCTTGTAATGAAGCCATTGTCTTGCAATTATGAGTTTAGATGTTCTAGTTGTGGTAATTTTGGCTATTCTACTAGCTACAGATGCTTTGATTGCAACTTCAGTCAGCAGCATTTTGCTACGACAGACCATTTCGTACGAGTACGATAAGCATCCTCTCAGGCTCGCCTATGATTCTCTTGATAAAAGTTATTTGGATAATAGTTATTGTGAAGCTTGTAAGAAGGAAAGAAATCCAGACCACTGGTTTCACTACTGCCCAGCATGTGAATCCACAATTCACTTAGATTGTGTCACAAATCAGTCATCAAGTCTTGAAGGGCCATGGTTGGGTCGATCAAGCAATCAAGCATCAAGGGTGGCTCACAAAATTAAGAAAATGTTAACAGTTTCTTTTTAATTTTCAAGTTTGCTATTTGACCATGTATAGTTGCTTGCTAACTTCAATAGCTAATTTCTTCTTTTGTGGAGACTATCAGGAAATGTGGTTTCGGTTTGATTCGAATTTACTTGAAGACATACTCATCTTAGTTGATCTTCAGCATGAAACTAGTGAACCAATCTAGACTTTCTAAATTTTATGCCTTATGTTCTGTTCTTTTAGGAAGGTGGCTATGAAGACGTTTAAATTAGACAATAAAAGAACATACTAATCATTTACTCAAGCACTTACCCACGGTTAATGGCATTGAATTGGGTATATCAAAAACCAATCCTTAAATGTCAAGATCCTTTCTTTAGGATCATCATGCTTTCTCTGTTAGGAACCCAATAGGTACACATTGAGGAAATCCCCCAGTTAAAGAAAGGAATCCTTTCCTTTCCTTTCAGTTTAATTAAAGACAGAATCTAGTGTAACTTAGCTCCCTATCTCAAGTATATTCATTCTCAATCACATGCAATACAATATCTAGAGTAAAGTTGTGTAAGGTACCGTTACTGGTAACGAAACTATTAAAGCTTTCTTAAGGTCGAAAACTGCAGGAGCAACTCAAAATACCAGGGCTGACAGGAGTTACCAGGAAGAGAAACAGCATTGATATTTCGATGATTATCGCTGGTAAGTAACTACTTAATCTTCTTTTATCATGATGTTTCAAATGCAGTGTCTTGTGTTCCTGTTGAGATAATCATTATGTTTTACAAAAAATGAAAAATCCCAGCAAAATAGGAGATAATCATTAATTGGTAAATATATGCAACTTCACATGAACCTCTAATCAATTTCTTGATATGCAACTTCTAAAGTCTATAAAGAAAGATTGACATTAATCCTTTCTATGCGTTTTTTTCTTCAGAAGCTATTGCTTGAGTTTCATACCAATTGTGGTTTGATGAAGATGTTATGTAAACAATCGCAGTTATTACCGGCCTGATTATAATGAGGAAGGGGACGGGTGCAGTGGTGCTAGTTACGCCAAAGCTAATGAAGATATGGAAGGATTAGGAGCTTCGATCAATAGTTTTAACGAGCCTTCTGGTCCAAATAATTCTCATTGTCTTCGGCAGCAGAAGAAAATACATTCGGAAAGCAAAGCTTAGAACCATTTTTTGGAGTTCCTACTTGTTGGCTGACTCTGTTGCAACCATTGCCCTTGGCATACTAACAAACAACCTGGGAGATATATATGATAAAAGAGGTGAGGTTAACTTGAAAACAAAACTTCCTACAAATTATCCTCCAAAACATCAGCCACAGCCTCGCTCAAGATGGCAAAACGATTCTCAGATTTCTTCAACTTACCAGAGCCCTTCTTTGAACGATCCAACACTACAGGATATCTCTTACCACTTTGCACCAAGGAACCCCTAGTTGCGACAGTATCGCATGCCACACCGACATCCTGAGACAAAATCTTCTCAGAAGAACCCTCCTCTAGTACCTCCTTGCCCTTAGTAGTACTCCCCACCTCCTTTTCCTGACACTGCCCACTTCCCTCAACCACCAGAGTCACCTTAGTCTTGAGTAGAGTATCAATGTCGATTTTGATCTGAGTATCCTTATTTAGCACATTGCCACAGAGCTCTGCTATTTCTCGGAGGCGCCTCTGAGTGCCGTTACAAGCGATATTCAATCAATATTCAATCGTCCCGGGAAGTCAGCTATCGCATCTCAAATTATATGTTCCATCTGCTGGTCACTTACCCTTTGTTGCCGTCGGTCGGGATCTGACTTATCAGTTTCCGAGACACTCAGGCCGAGACCAAGAGGTTCTTCAAAGAAAGATTAACCATTTCAAGAATAAAGGAACAAAATAGGATCAAAGTAACAAAACGCTTCTTCAAACCAGTGACAGTGAGTTCGAAGAGGAAAACAACACAAGTACATACTTGATGTCATTGTTTCGAGCCATGAAGTTCATGGAAGAACCAATGATGTACCGAATGATTACAGCTTCCTACATGTTGCTTCAAGAAAACATCGATGTTCTACCTGGAAAAGTGAAGGGGGTAGCAGCAAATCCGTGTTATTCGACGCATGCCGGCTAGCATTGGCTTTAAACGGAGTGACGGTCAACGGACAAGAAAGTTAGATGGGATATGATCAGAGATGTCTAGTTGGAGCTGTTAGCTTATGCTGCTAGTCACAGCAAAATAACCCCAGTTCGTTTCTCTCTTTTTTCATTTAGAACCCCATGAATTTCAATTTCAATTTCTTCTTTTAACAATTCAAGAAATAATTTTGTTGGGAATTCAGTTGCTCACTTGTTCTAACAAAGATTCTACTTGGATAAACTGCATTCAATCATAACAAGGTACACATCTAGAATAAGTGAAAATTTCATGTCTTTATATTTTAAGTTTTCTATTATCTAAAAACAAGAAGAAAGGATTCACATGTTCTTATGGTACAATTATTGATACAAGAAAAAGAAGAAGAAAAAGAAATAGTTTAACATACTTTGCACAATATGTTAAAAGTGTTAGGAGGTCTTCCCATTTTCATCATCCTTCAGATTCCTCCATAGATACTTCCCACTAGCCATGTCCACAAATACCCAGAATCCATTCTGAACCATCTGAAAATCCAGCAATATGAAAGTCAAAAATAAAACCCGAAGTCCAGGGATTTCAATATCTGTCCGAATGTATTACATAATGGTAACAGTATAGTCCGAAACTGTAATTATACGATTGTGATATCCGCAATGATCTAATAACATCTATTATGTCCGCAATCACAACGAAAACTAAGCAGCAACTGATATTTAAATCCTGACCCAAACAAGAAAAACAGAAACCCAGAATAGGAAACATGTTTTTTTGGGGGGAAAGAGGGGAAATATTTTCATACCCTTTTGAAACTGAATCCTTGTGCATCTTGAACAACGATCTTCTCGGAATCCTCTGAAACTTCGCCGTCGGTGCCAGCTGATGAACGTACCGTCCTCCATGCGACATAGCCTGCTAAAATTGCAGAGAAAAACACCAACAAGAATCTCATAGGACACATTTCGCCTCTAGAAGACTAGAACCAACGAAAAAACAATTTTTTTTCAAAACAAAATGGATTTGTTAAGAACAAAAGGAAGGGAGAATTTTGGTTTTATTAAGGCAGCCTGTGCATTGTTTTATTAGTAAAAAAATGATATCCTATGTGTAAACCACGTTCCTGGAGGCTGGAGATTGAAAAATTCTACACAAAGGGGAAGAAGGAAGGAATTGCTAGTAGGAATTGAAAAAGTCAATAATGGCAGAAAAGTCAGCAGCCATCACCACCTACATGTAACAATCAATTTTCAGCTTTTTACTTTCTCTCTGCTCACATATCCAATAAATATACAGTTAAGAAAGTCAGCAAATTTGTCTGAACAAAAAACTAGACTTTTTCTATACTGTTACAACCTAACTCAGCTATAAATACCTTATTAATTCTCAATCACTTTCATCACATTAAATCCTCGCAACTTCTTTAAGGTATATTTTATTATATTTAGTATTTTTTAATAATTTATTTAATTATTTTAATTGTTTAATATTTTATTTAATTAATTTTTTTACAGATATAAAATTGAACACAATCTACTTTGATTGGATGTAAATCATATATCTCGACACTTTGCTGATACAGTAACATTTTAACGTTTTAATTTAATTAATTTATTTATTTAATGCATGATTATTAGTCTAGGACGTGTCCCGAAAAATTTTAACGGTGGACGGATAACGTTAAATTGGTTAGATGCCAATTTTCGGGAGTTGAGCGAGGATACGTCGGATGATGAAGTTAAACAGTATGCACGGGCATGCATACTGAAGCTGATAGGAGGGACAAATCGCGCAACCAAGTTCACTGTATGTGGTTGCAACATCTTGGCGACTTTCATCTGGTCGGATCACTTAGTTGGTGCTCGGCAGTTTTGGCTTGTCTGTACAGGGAGATGTGTCGAGCCATTGACTACAGGCGTAATGCTATCGGCGGATATCTCCTGCTGCTGCAGTCTTGGGCATGGTATTGATTGCCCTTTTTATGTCCCGTTGTCAAGAACTCATTCGTATTTCCGCTACTCCTGAGGTAATTATAAAACTAATTTTGTATATTAATAATTTTATACAGTGAATAAGAAATTATTTTTCTTGAATAAGTGGTCTACTGATAGGAAAAACCATCAGGAGCTACCTGATGATTTAGAAAAAAATTAGGGTGTTAATCGATCAGAAGGCTGGCACACAGGTATGAATTTTAATGTTTAAAAATCGATTTTAGATTATAGTTATATAATTATATTATTATTTTGATAAAAATTATATATATATATATATATATATATGTTTTAGTTTGAATGTGTGTCATATTCTACTAATGATGTGAGGGCGATGATCCCACCTGAGTTGAGGGGCCTATCAGATGTTTGGATGGTGATGATCCCCTTGATCTGTTATGCGACCGTCGAGTGGCACTCTACTGATCGCGTGCTCCGTCAATTTGGTTGTTTTCAACCAATTTCGGAAGCACCTCGCAATATGGACAAGTTGCATAGCACAGATAGACGCGGCAAGACAGATACATATTGGCTGGTGAGGCATCATGCGTGGGTCGTGTTGTGGGAGGATCAACATCGGTACCTTCCCCGTAGAGAGCCCATTTTACTTGACCTCTTGATGGTTGCTGACGGTTATTACGAGTGGTTCAACAGTAACGGGAAACCGTTTTTGCTTTCCAAGGATGCACGAGGGTAGACATTTCCGCGACGTCGATAGAGACGTTCACCGACACAACACCATCGTCCCCCGACTCATGGACGGAGAGCAGGTGCTTCTGGTTCATCCTCAGCTGCACCAGCAGGACCTTCACAGTAGCCACCGTACCCAGTGACTTACATACCGCAACCATATATGATGTTGCCACCGCCTTTCCATTACCAGATGACGCCGCCGCCCCCTTCACCTGCTTTTATGACCCCGTTACCGCCACCATCACAGATGACCCCTCCTGGAGGCTATTATGGGTCTATGTTTGTAGATCCGACT